CCAACACTTTTATTTATTTATTTTTTATTATTTACTTATTCTTGCTTTTGAAATTATTGATCACACCTTAATTAATTTCTACCTAGTTACTTATTCTGAGAATTTTTATTGTATTCAAACATAGAAAGAAACTGTTTCGTGAGAGATTTTGTTAGATTTAAAGTGGAAATATGTACGCCATAATTAGGCAAATAAATTCTCAGAAGGTTTTGCTTTAATGTGATATATATATATATATATTATTCGCCTTTCGAAGAATTTTGAATTTTGATGACAATATTCCTTTCTACCTAATTCTTAACTTAATTTTCAAATATTCGGTGGCAACGTAACAGATAATTCAAGAGAAAAGATGAGCATAATATGATCTAAACGTGGAAAACCACAACGCGCCTGTTAAACACATTAATCTTTGTATGATATTGTTAATCGTTACATAATTGACGTTAGTTCGACTGTATCATCATCAGCTCTTAGTTTATATGCGCAGCTGGTGAGGATTTTGTCCCACTTTTGTTTAATTATATATTTTGGTTGGTTCTATGTTAGGTGTCGATCTAACTATTAGACCGACATACTTTTTTATAAATATACATAGTTTCATTAGAAAATGTTAGATTTTAAAATCAATATAAACATAAATATGACATTTTATAGTATAAGTATGTGTTTTAGTTCAAATTGTAAAACGGATCGACCCACTTAATGGTTAGACTGTCTAACATAAGAATTTTAGTTTAACTTTCTTTGAAATATAGATGTTACATATTTTTCAATAAAAAAAAATTCTTGTACAAGACGAGCTAATCATTAGTCAGATCGACCCATCATACGTCTTTAACAAAAATACATCCTTATGCTATGAAAGCATAATTGTCTAACCGTTAGATGTAACTAACATCAATATTATTGTGTTGTCATTGATACTAAATTTTTGTCACTTCTAAAACATGTCCTAAAAACATTGGATAATTGCAAAGTGCATCCCAAGTTTAATTTGATGGCTAAAATGATCCTCAGATTTCAGACACTGATATTATTTTATTTTATTTGGGAAAATTTAAATTTCACAGTTTCAATGCAACATTAATGCTGGAAACACTTAGAGATAAGAGGATGATGTTCGTGGGTGACTCTCTAAACCGTGGGCAGTATGTTTCTATGGTGTGTCTTCTTCATCGACTCATCCCTGAAAATGCCAAATCCATGGAAACTTTTGGTTCTTTAACTGTCTTCACAGCCAAGGTGATTTTTTTTTTTTTTACACTTTTTCAAACGGTATTTCTGGTGTTAGGCTGTCTAATGGCTACGTCATCATACTATTCAGATAAATATAAATATTCGAATAATCAAATTTTATTTTTTTTAAAATACATTATAAACAAAAGTATGACATTACATAGTATAAATTTATAATAAAAGTAAGGCTGACTAAGGATAACTATAATAACAAAATGCATCAATTTTCTTGACAAACTATTATCCCCATCATATAATACAATCCTTTTTTCTCTTTCACCAAAAAAAAGGCATACTTTCAATTGTGAAATTTTACTTGTGAAAAAACCCCATTGATTCTCAAAATTACAAATTCTCCCCTACATTTGTACCTAATTCTTTCATTTGCTCGAAAGAGGGGCAAATTTCGTATTGATAACAAATCTCGGGGGAATTCAACAACTATTGATACTTTTTCTCTAAATAGACCAAGAGCCTCAAGAGGGGTTGGTAGATAAATTTTAATCTCAAAGGGGTAATTTAGCAATTTAAGAAACTAACTGGAGTCCACAGTAATTAGGATTCTCCACATTGTAAGAATTAGGGACAGTGGCATAGCACTAGAAAAACAGAGTCCTCTGTTTTTACTTCCCAAACTTGGTACAAATTATAATGAGCCAAAAAACAGAGTACT